CAACCTGAGCATCAGTATAAAGCAGATTTCTTTTTGCCACTCATTGACATGTCAATTGCATCAGTAAAGGAGCGTTTTGAACAGGTCAGTATCTTCACAAATCTTTTTGACTTTCTTTACCGGTCTGAGAGTCTTATCAAAGCCTGTAATGAAAATTCTCTTACTGTATTTTGCACAAATTTGCAAACGAAGCTCGGGGATATAGATTCTGAGGATTTGGAAATGGAGTTGAAACGATTTGTCATAGTTGTACAAGAGGACAAAAATACAAACCTGAAATCTGCATATGACTTCCTTAACTACGTCTACAAAGAAGAGCTGCAGGAAACTTATCCTAATCTAGTTATTGCGTTACGCATCATTCTTACTTCTCCAGTAACTGTTGCAAGTGCAGAACGTAGCTTTAGCAAGTTAAAATTAATTAAAACATTTCATAGGTCAGTATAAATACTCTTACTTCCTTATACCTAAACACATATAACTATATTTCTTTGTATCTTTATGTAGGTCAACAATGGTCGATGAAAGTTTGTCTTCCCTAGCAATGCTGTCAATCGAGAACGAGGTAGCAAGGAAATTAAGTTATGAAGGCTTAATAAATAAGTTTGCAAGTATGAAAACACGACGCAAACCTTTTTTTTGACCTGTGAATGCCTAATACATTCACAGTAGTCAAAGAAACCTTTTGTTTTAAACTCTTAATAAATATAACAATTATAAAATATACTTAATTAAATTAAAGGGTTAATTTTATTGTTTTTTTTCTCGTGAACGACTACTTAAAAATATGTTCGGTGCATTATAAAAGATACGCCTTGCGCTTTTTGAAAAAAAAAAAATGTCAATTTAAACGCATTTAAAAAAACTTTGGGGCCCTAATGGAATGTTTGGGGGGGGGCCCTAAAGTCACTAGCCACGGCACTGTATATATATATATATATATATATATATATATATATATATATAGTCTTTTTACTAGTGATTTCAGTTTCTTAAAAAGCTAGTGATTTTACTTTCTATAAAAGTGATATATTATAATAAAATATTATTCTATGCAACCGCAGGGGTCTTATAGTGAGTCAGAGGGGCATTAGCCTCTAGTTTAAACAAGTCTGATAGCTTAGATTTCTCGAAAAGCTACCAAAAAATTATTTAACTTTTGATAGTTTTGAAATGTGCACATGGAGTACTTTCAAAAAGAATAAAAAATTTGTTTTTTTTTTTAGGTCTTAGGTCATCTTCAGGTTACCCGTGATCAATAATAAAACCAGTGCAAATTACAAATGACTTAACTAAATATATTTTTTTTTACCTTCTTTATAGGTTTCGTTGTAAAAAAATATTTGAACATTTTTTACAGAATAAATAAGTACCTTTGGATATAATTGCTAGCTGTTCGTATTTTAAGTCAAACAAATCTTTGATCATAGGGGTTATTTAATCGCCAATCTTTTCGTGATCGTGATTTTGCTTCTAAATATTTGCCAACAAAATTAGCATTAAGCGAGGCTCTCATCTGATGGCAATTTTTTTGAACTTTCAAACGACATGACAAAGCAAAAAAACAAGCAATTGAATTTTGGTTTTTAAACCTAAAGAGATAAACTGTAAGAGCTTGTTTTTTCAAACGTTTGAAAGAGTTTTTTCATTGTTTTTAATTCACTTACCAAATATAAAAATTCATCTTCGGCAAAACCTCTATCTTCGCAAAACTTGTATTTTGGAAACAAAACTTAGTTGTTACGTTACTAATATCACTAATTTTTGCGAATACAGATGGTGTTTTTAAGTTCTGGACTGAAAAATTTTAAATAAATCTTTTATTATTGTTTTATTAAAGTTAACAGAGTTTTTTAAATTTGGTATATCTAAATATTTATCTTTAAGCCACTTACTATCTGTCACTTTTATCTGTCACTTATTATCTGTCACTAATTATCTGTCACTTACTATCTGTCAAATAAAACAACACCGACTACCAATTGGTATAAATGTGTTTTTTTAATGAAGCCATCAATTATCTCTTCATTTTTAAATGTGAGTCGAATGAAATTCACATTTACAAATAAAACAGATACAATGTAAATTTGCAATTCCATCGATTTCTATATTGATCATATTTCCTTTAATAGATTGATCGTAATAATCACTGTCATTGACGTCATCAACATAGTCATACTCTTCAGAATCATTATCAGTACTCCTAGAAATTATAATATATGTTGCTGCAGGATAAAGTTCTCTTTCTCTTAATGGCCCTGGAAAAAAAAGTTTACATCAACATAACACAGTTTCTCATATTATAAGATTTTCTTGTTTTAATAAAAGAGTCACTTTAAACAAAAGCACATTAATCATATATGACAAAAAGAAAATATTTTTCACATGGAGTACTGTTAGTACTCTTTCTGCTTTCTTTTTTTGTACAGTTATGTAGAATTTCTCTTCCAATAAAGGAAAAGCATACTGAATAACGTTTCTCAACAACTGGCTGTTCTTTCGGCTGACTGGTTATGTTCGTTGTTCCAATCGGTGTAGGGCTTCCAAACTTGACTCTTCCCAAATAAAAAATAATGCAACCATGGTAATTCTCATGTTGCAGGATAAAGCTTTATGTTTTGGTTGTCAGGCAGAGGGAAGTCTTAACCATTGCCTCCTTTTCTAAGGCCTACTCGACAGTTTTTGTAGATACCAGTTGGGAATCTTCAAAGTTGATAGCTTGACCAAAAACCTCTTGACAGCGTTTAACCATAAAGTCAGTCAGTTGCCTGTTAATCTTTTTCAAACAGAGAAAACAGACAGTTTTTCTGTTGTCATCATGAATTTTTGCTTCATTCGGCATTTTAAATAGTTTTGACTTGTATTTTGCTCAAAAGGCACAATGAAACTATTCGCCCGTATTTTCCAGAATTTAAAAATTAACATTTATTTAGCCTAGAGAACCTTAAACAAGTTGCTTAACTTTGTTAGTAACTTGTGTAACAAAATAAACAATTTCTATGTGAAAAATGTTTTACTTTATTAGATTAATAACCTTGTCAATACGCCAAATAATCAAAATTGTCTAATCAATTTTTCTTTCACGGATGATTATAAAAGATTTGAAAACCAACTCTAATGTATTCCTACATATTTGTACTATCATACCCCGAAGGTTTTTTTCGCGAAAAGAGATTCGAGTTAAAAGTCATTTTGTGACACAGTGTTATGTTTAAAGCGTTATAACGCAAATATGACGCCTAAATCATTTGCATTGTAATATGAAATGGTAATATAATGATAGTATAATATATAATATTCCATGGTAATATAATATAGGATATTGCATGGTAATATAATATATGATACTTCATGGTAATATATGGTAAGCATAATAAAGCATTAAGTTTGACCATTATGCTTAACAATTTGATTTTAGCAGTAATAAAATATAGCAGAAACATTTGCTCAAAAATATAATTTTTTTCGTACTAAAAAGTAGAAAATAAACTTTTAAATTTAAATTTAATAGTTCAGTAAACTAAAGATTGACAGATCTGCGAAAGGTTTATGTAGAAACATACCTGTTTAAATTTAAATTTAAAAGTTTATTTTCTACTTTTTAGTACGAAAAAAATTATATTTTTGAGCAAATTTTTTTGCTCTATATTTTATTTTCTATTTTTTAGTCTTTACAAGAAGTTCCGATATTTTAATATTAAACTAAAAAATTTGAAAAAAAAAAGTCTCTTTGAAAGATTTTGAAAAAAAATACAAACCCAAAAGCAATCTTAGCCAATTTTAAAAATAAAAAGCTTTATTTATAAAAAAATGTATATTATTGGAAAAAAAAGAATAACAAACCCAAAATGATAACAAGCAATATTAGCCGATTTTAAATATAAAAACATTTATTATGAATAAAGATTAATTTTTAATAAAAAACAAACCCGCAAGCAATTTAGTAGGTAATTTCTTTATAATTGGTAAGTTTTTAACGGGCCCCTTTATTGACACAAAAAGTTTAGGAAAAGTTCATGTTAAGTGAGCTCCAACCACTACTCTGTCGGCGTACTTTATTTAGGCTAAGCCTAATATCATTTTCACACTAGCGATGTTTGGTGGAACATTATTCCGGAACAAATGTTCCACAAAATGTTACATGTGGAGAGTTCACATGTAAAATTGGTTTGACGGTACATAAAAGAAAAAACGAGTAAAAAAACGGTAAGTAAAACTCGAATAAAAATTAGTGACAAACAGTTTTACAAATACACATTGTTAATATAATTTATTAATTTTTAATATTTATTCATTTATGAGAGGTAAAAATAAATGCAAATAACGCTGAGGGTTCAGCTAGCTCAGAGTTAGACAATAGAAACCCAACCCAAAATACCCGCCATACAAAAGGTGACGTTGGAATTTTGTTATCCCGTTTCATGGCTTTTATGGATAGGTGATATCTCCTTTAGTCGCTTTTGACGACACAGAATAGTAGTTCATCAGTGGTATAGTACCGAATAAACATATTATACATTAATAAGTTACCCACGACCAGTTAAAAATAATCTCATTTGTGTTCATACATATTTAATATTTATTTATTGATAACCTCAAGGAAAGTAAGTTTAATTCAAAACTACTAAATACATAACCATATTACAGCCAAAGCTTTAAATAATAAATAATATTATTACTACTTTACCTTCCCTTTTATAAAGGTATTTAGCAATTGAGTGACGAACATTTTTTCCTGGTCCATTGTTCCCAGTTGTAGAAACTGTATTGGGTTCAGCTAGATTGTCATCATGATGATGCATAAGTTATTTTATTATAATAATATCGTCATAATATTCACAAATGTTGTGAAGAGTGACGCAAGCATTAACAATTCTTGTAGCAAAGTTAATATCGCATTCCATACGTTTGCAAATTACACGAAATCGAGCTTTAACGCGCCCAAAAGCATTCTCAACTACTCTTCTAGCTCCGCAAAGTATTTTATTGAAATGTTTTTGAATTTCACTAAGCTCCAAATTTTCAGGATAAGGTTTTAACAAATGACGTGTTAAAGGAAATGCTGAATCACCTATCAAACTTAGCGGAACAAGAGAATCGCCCAGCTCTTTACAACATTTATCAAATAGATTTGATTCTAAAATTGCTTTCAAAGAAGAATTCTGCAAAATATAGCTGTCATTGTTTCTACCAGGCAATCCAACGCTTGTATAAATGAAACGGTATCGACAATCTACAATGGCAAAAAGTACAATGGAATACCACCCTTTATAATTATAATAAGAAATTGCTTGATCTTTAGGGGCTGAAATAGGGATGTGGCATCCATCAACAGCTCCAACGCATTGTGGGAAACCAAGAATAGCTTCGAAATCTCTACTTTGTTTATTTAAATTTTCCACTCACAATGGAAATTTAACATATTTAGGGAGCAAAATGTCATTAACAGCATTAATAAATTCATGAACAATTAAATTTGCTGTTGACTTTCCTATGCCAAAAAGGCTAGACACAACACAATACTCTTCACATGAAGCTAGATAATGTAATGCAACTGCAACACGTTTTACTACTGAAATAGGTTCTCGCATAGTTGTGGTAGTTTTGCCTAAATGTGGATGCAATTCATTAACTAGGAAACTAAATGTGTTACGATTTACTCAAAAATGCTCTTTAAATTCACATTCCTCCATTTGAGTAAAAACCTCATTAAACCATTGAGAACTTTTCGGCCTAATCCAAACTTTTCTTATAATCAGATACCCTTGTTGATTTAACTTAAAGGAAGCTAAATCTAAATATGAAAATGGGTGGGTGATTGATTCATCATTGATTAATGTTCTACTTCTTGATCGAAGTACGGCCAAAACGCTTTCCATGTTTTTCCAGTAGCTTTTTCCTTTACTGATGTCTCCCTAAAAAGCTATTAAAACTATATAAATATATTAAATAAATATAATACTTATTATATTACAATTCAAGGGAAATTAAAACACATTTTTAAAAACCATTTTGTTAGAATTGATACAGCATGATCTGTTAATAAAAACAAAAATGAAACATGTAATTCAATTTGTATAAATTAAAAACAAAACACGTTGGCAAAAAACATATCACTATAATTCATCTACAGGCTTGCTTCATATCGCATAAAAAAATAATTGGTAAAAATACTAAATATATATAGCATAGAGATACAAAAAAAGGTATTTATAAAATAAAATGAGAAATTTAAAAAAACCACCAGATATGCATTTTAATCCTTGAAATCACAAAATATTTTTATTTTACATATAGTAAAAATTCCTTTGATAATAGTAATATGGTAACATGAAAAAATATATATAATTAGAGCTTCATCTACAAGCTTGTACAATATTTCACTATCCATCTCTTTAGTTAAAAAATTGAAAAACCTTATGAAATACATATTGCATAGAATTGTAAACAAGATATACTGTTGAAAAAATATTGACCTTTCAACTTTAACATAATTACTAAAAAGATATCTTGGAAAGATATCTTTTTAGTAATTATAGGAACTATGGAACACTTTTTAGTAATTATAGTAACTATGGAACACCTTATTTTTTTATTAAAAATCTATAATATTCTACATAGGCTTTAGACACATCTACTTGGGCTTTAGATGCATTTTCAATTGCATCACAAATACGCTCTAAAGCAACAACCTCTCTGATTCGTAGCTCTTGTGAACGGATTTGAACATCTAGATTTTTATTTACTATTTTTAAATATTTAGAAGAAAAATTTGTTTTTTTATTTTTTCTCACCGGTTCAGTTTTTGCTATTTTATTCAAAGTTTTTTCATCATCAGAGTTTCTTCGTTTATTGCAGTTTTTAAATAATTGCCCACCATCTGGTCTACTCATGATTGATCCCACACGAGTGGGATCGGAATTTCCTTGGTTGCATGAAATTACCACAAGTTTTTACTCAATCAATAAAGATATGAAACTATATTCAAAGAAATGTTTTGAATTCAATAAAAAAGATGGAAGGCAAAAACGAAAAGTTTCAAGGCAACATGTTGAAAGGCAAATAGTATATCGATAATCTTGTCTTGATATATGAATAAGACCTAGGACAATGCAGAGATCAAGGACTAAAAACTCTGGTTAAGATGACAACAACTTTGTTAAATAAATAATTTGATTTGCTTTCACAACAAATTTGCATCTTGCAATGCATTTTTATTGAATCATTTAGCTTATATGCATACGCTTATTTTAAAAATAGTTGAAAATAGGCACCATTTTTTATACAAAACCAAATAAATGTTCCGGAACATTTATTTGTTCTGGGTTGGCGGAACGGTATAAAAGTTCCTCAAATGTTCCTTGAATTTTTGTTCCATGTGTTCACACGAGAGGATATTTGTTCATGCTCCATGTTCCACGGAATGTTCCATCAAATGTACCCTCGTGTGAACAGCCTATAACTAACAGTATGTATTGCAGTCGCCAACATATTGTGTGCAATCCTGTCTGCTAACTCTATGCTATCTTTCTAACTCGACTACTTCTATCTTTCACTCTAACATATCTCTGTTCTTCCCAAACTCACCTTACGTAGTCCGTAGAGTGGGTATGACGCTCCCTCGGGAGCTCAACTAGTCTTTGCGGACTTCTGGTAAAGTGACCTCTATATGGAAATTAGCCGGAGGAGGTTAAACCACAATACCAGAGCTCATGTAAAGTGAACTCCAATCAGAGTGTAAAGTGAACTTCAATCAAAGTGAAGTCCCAGCAGAGCTATACCAAGAATATTGGGAAATTTATGGCTCTGAATTTACAGAACTCGCCAATGCAAATATATTTGATATAGGTGGCGAAATGTCGTTGTCGCAAAAAACAGCTCTGATTAGTCTCTTGCCTAAAGAGGGCAATCGATCCGAGCTGAAAAACTGGCGACCAATCTCACTCCTCTGTGCCGATTATAAAATCATCGCAAAGGCCCTCGCACTACGGCTATCAAAGGTTATCAACCTTATATTATTACAACCTTATATTATAGAGCAGGTCCAACTATATTTACAATCTGAAGCAACCTTAGCAAATGTTAATTTAGCAATTAATTTTATTTAATCGGTTTCCATGAAAGGTCAGTAGTAAACAATAATCCAAGGAGACGAAAAGAAGAAGATTCAGTTAGAGTGTTGTCATTCATTAATATAAGAATCTTAACAGTATTGCTATAAATGTTTGAACTAAACTTTTTTGGAGTTAAAATTTACAAGTCACTGCGAGCCCCAGTCTGCTACAGAAGTGATATCAAATTCAAGATCGGCAGCTAAGAAATGTTCTAAGAAATTGAAAAGAGAAAACTTCGGCAGCTAGGAAATGTTCTAAAAAAAAAAAAGAGAATCTAGGAGGTTACTTAGAAAGCGTATTTTTCAGATGAAAGGGAAAAGACATCAGCTCAAGGACCGTTACGAAGAAAATCACAAAAAGAAACCCAGTCCTACATAATTTCCTGGATCCAAGCAGGTATGAAAAGCTTTCATACCTGTTGTACCACAAAAAGAATCTCAGTCAGCATTAGGGTAGTTGTAAGTAGTGCAATGATAGGGTTATTTCAAAAAAAAAAGTAAAAGATAAAAGATTTAAAGAGATCATTGTATTGTCAGAACCACCTAAAGGAAAAAAAGGAGAAACTAAACACAAGTTAGGATCAGAGACCAAACATAAATCAAGGAGGGAAAACAAAAAGGTTTGTCAGGAAAACGAATCACAAATTTAACTATTTGAGTAAGAGATTGATAAATGCAGAAACTATAGGCTTTAGTGACAGCAGAGTCAGTGGTGTTAGAGCAAAGTCATTAAGTGTGATGAGCATTAAAGTCACCATTAACAACAATATTGGCAGAGGGGTAAAGAGAGAGTCAAACCTGATTTCACGACAAATAGGTGAATTTATGTGTATTTATATCCCTTGCATAGCATATGACTATTGAAGTCTTTGCGAGTTTAAAGGTAGCACCCATCAACACTAAGATCAGAAAAAAAAATAGCCGAATTTAAATTAGTCTCACTAAAAGCAAGCAAGCCTGGTGAATTTTGAAAGAGATGAGATTCAACTGATGGACGGTTGCTTCGCAGACCACGAATATTAGTAAAAGATATATTAAACAGTTAGTTGGCGGTGATGGTTTGGCATGGTTTAGGTTTTAAGAAAACTTGACTCATTCATAGATAGACTACGCCTCCAAAGAAATGAGCCATACAATTTTCTTAGTCCTTTTAATTAACTCGCAACATTGGGCTCCTTATGTAGCCTCGAAAATGCGCACCAAAAGCATGGAAAACCATCCATGCGCAACATGACACTGTTAATACTTTGATACATTGCAGCTGTTGATGAAATCAGTCACTTTGAAAACTACCACAGAATTTGGGTGACCATACTCCAGCATTTACTCAATCAAGACCCCCAAAGTAAGGGATTTTTAATTCGAAGTTTGTTTCTCCTAGTCTTTGTCTAAAAAAGCACTCTCTACCCGGCAGAAGGAAATTGAGCACGTAGTACTGGATTACATAAGTATTATACATAATATTAATGGTATATTATCATAAAAATGGTATTATACATAATACCAGTAGCAGGATGATCGTGGGGATCCTCAACCTGACTTAAACTGGAGTAACTAGAAGGAATTATTTCCTGCAAACCGTACCTTAAAACATTGGGCATGACTTTGGAAGCGCATAAGGAAAAATATTACATCTAACAAAATACTCGAGAAAAAAGGTGAACGTAGTTTTCGTAGTTGAAGTAACTTTTTTTGCAAATAATTATTTAAAAAAATGAAATTTAAACTAAAAGCAATCCTGTTAACAATATTTTGACACAATTTAAAGTATCTTTTAAACAAATAGTTACAGCACTTAAGAGTATTTTTTATGAAACATTTCAAGGTTTTTTACTGCTATTGAGGACAATACAGTTACTTTTAAAACAATTTCAGAAGAAAACTTTGCTTTCCATGGCCAGCATTTTATTTTAAAGTAGGGGATATTTCCTGTGTTATAATATACAGGAACCAGGGTCCCGATATTTAGGTTGTTTTACTAGGTACCCGGAATCGGTTATTTAATTGCAGTACCCGGCACCGTCTATTTTCACCGTCTATAACTATTTGTTTAAGAGGTACTTTAACTTGTGTCAAAATATTGTTAACAAGATTGCTTTTATTTTAAACTTCAGCCAATAAACTTCTTGGTTTAAGTCTAAGAGTGTTATGGAGTTGATAAGCGAAAAGCTCTTTTTATTCAATATGGATGTATCTCACTTGAAATATTTTTTTAAATAAATTTTTTCAAAAAGAAAAGCAGAATATAGTTGCACAAAGGAAACTGATTTATACGGATATTTGAATAGCTTCTTTTTATTGTGTAAGAAAATTGTTTCAGAAGAGAATTTTGAGTTAATTTTAAAGCTCTTGATGTTTTTGCATTAATGACGTCAGATGCAAATTATTCTAAATATTAACAAAATTGAGAGAGAAAGAATACTTACGAACACTGAGTTTACACATTAGTTTGCGTAATTTGAACTTGTAACCTCGAGTGTAAATATAGTTGCTTATTAAAAAGAAACTTGGTTTATTTAGGCAAACTTAATAAGCGCAAACTAACCAGAGTTATTCTGTAAAAATAATTCAGCGCTGGAGATTTCGCAAGCTTTTATTCCAAAATTTTAATATGGACTCAGTGCCAAAGTCAGACTTGGACTCGGTTTTTTCTACCGGGTACCAGGTCTCGTGGACTTGGCATAAACTGGTTCCCGCACACATCTAATATTAAACAGCGCTAATGACAGGAAGCAAACTCTTTTCAGCCCTTGCTTAGAAAGCGAATTCCATAAGGCAACAGGAGATGGAACAGGTTACACTATATTTTTAAGTTTTAAATTATATATTATTAAAGAAACACAAGTAAAATGAGAAATAACAATATTCTTTATCTCACAGCTTCAGTGCCTTACTTAAAATATGTTACAAGATTTTTTACTGCTGTTGAGGACAATATAGTTCCTATTAAAAAAGAAAAATTCAGAAGAAAACTTTGCTTTTCCATGGAAAGCATTATATTTTAAGTAGGGGATATTTCCTGTGTTGTACCCCCAGCATTGCCAGTCCTTATCATTTAGTTTCATTGAAAGAAAACTAATTTTATAAAAAGTTTATATTATTTGCAATAAATATGAATGCTTTAGTCTGATTTGTTTTATTTATTTTGTCAACTTTAGTAATTGTAAATGTTTTATTTCCACAAAATGAAACTAAAAGTTTGTTATTATTCATTTTATGTTTTTAATATTTAAATTTATATATTTTTAGATTACAGAATCTCTTTTGATGGTGAAATTAAACAAATTCTCATCGATTTTTTCCACCTCACATAAAGCTATTTCTGAACAGCATGTTTTCAGTTGAAGATAATTTGATAATTTGAAGATAAATACATATTATAGGTAAGATAATTTGATAAATTGAAGATAAGGTAAGGTGATATCTAGAGAGTTAATGTCATGTTTTTTTTGCTTTTTTGTTATTTGCATGTTCCTAATCATAATAATATTAAAAATAGAATATTGTTACGGAAAATATTCTTTGCAAAGTTAAAGTCTAATTGCATTTTTTTATACCCTTCTTACAACAATAAATGGGTATAAATCTTTGATTCTATAATTTTTATTTTTTATTAAAACTGGTAACATTTATTATTTTAAAATGCACTTTTGAACTCGTTCCTTCTTCCTTCAGATATTTTATATCCTAACACAAAACTTTTTAATTTTGTGTTAGGATCTCCTGTTCAAAAAGTTCAAAAAGTAAATATATGTATATATATATATATATATATATGTATATATATATATATATATATATATATATATATATATATATATATATATATATATATATATATATATATATATATATATATACATATATATGCCGATTCAAATGTACAGAATAGTACCCGGATTAGACTAAGGGGTCGTCCATATATTAATTCGCGCAATTTTTGACCATTTTTGACCTTTCCTCCTCCTAATAACAAACGTCACGTACTACTGATCCCGTCCCACTAAAACTACGCAACAAATTTGTACCCTCCTCCCC